CTGAGACATGATCACCAGTATGATCATTTAAACACCTACGACTTCTTTCAGATTGAGGGGGTCGTGATGTTGGGTTGCTGCCAAATAGTTGGAGTCTGACACAGTGACACTGCCAGGAACCACAGGGGAATTTTGGACGAGAGACACAGAGAAACACAAAGAGAGAGAGAGAGAGAGCTGAGTGTGTGCAGGCGAGTATATACATACTTGAGTCAGACGTTGTTCCAGCAGTGAGAGTGTCGGGGGTCTTTATTCACACAGTTTTTGTTCTACATGCCGTCATGTGTTTTATATCTCTGTGTGTGTTGGAAGCTGCCCTGAATCACCTCAGAGCCTTTGAGGTGTCACAGGTCCGAGTCTGGAAAATGTCCGGATACTGTAAACACACACGAAGCACTGAGGACGAGGATGTAGGACATTTAAAACCCGAGCCTCGAGCTCCCTGTGTGTGTTTATGTTCACTCATCTTCATCCATCTTGAGCCTCTTTGTGTTTTCAGTTTATAAAAACATTCATGTTTCCTTCCATTTTCTGCTTTTAAAATAAAAGTGGATGTTCTAGTAGCTGTGAGTCACTCCTAACTTTAACTACCTAGAGTGATTACTTGTTTTTTTTGTCCACATTATTGATCGATTCCTTTATAGTTTCCTCTTCTCTGTCACAGAAAGGAAGCAGCTCGTTCCTCTAAGGCTTACTGTTGTTCAGACACGCAGGGCGAGTCAGGCAGTGTCGAGTCGAGTCAGATCGAGTCCAGCCAAGTCAAGTGGTGTCAGTTTGAGTCGGGTCAGATTGAGTCCAGCCAGGTCGGTTTAAGTCCAGCCAAGTCAAGTTTAGTCCAGCCTGCTCCAGCCAAGTTAAGTCAGGTTGAGTCGAGTCAGGCGGCGTTGAGCTGAGTCAGGTCAAACCCAGCCAGGGCAAGTTGAGTCAGTTTGAGTCGAGTCAGGTTGAGTCCAGCTGAGTCAGGTTGAGTCGAGTATCATTACTTAATTTTGGACTCAACATTCTCATTTGTTCCATGGAAACTAAAGTGCTTTTCACACACATTGTTCCTGAGTCAGGAAGGAAAGGTGTGAACATGGTTCAGGGTTCAGTTCTGTGTCGAGTTCAGTGTGTGAACTGGACTAAACCTGTTTCCACGTCTCCGCAGCTCTGTGACCTTTAAAACCTACCCATCGTCACCTTCTCCTTGTCTGATTGGTAAGTGAGCATCGCAACCACATCACTGAAACTGCTGCTGAAGTTTTCCTGTGATGGGGTTTAAGATACCCGCCTACACACACACACACACACATAACAGACACACCCTTACATGTGCACGCCACACACGACATGTCCGTGAAAAGGTCTGTGTTTGTTTGTGTGCAGGAATGCATTGTTAATACATTTGAATCCACACTGATCCATGAAGATGTTTCCAGATTTCCACACACCAGATTAGATTTATATCACTTCAGTGCGATCTGATTGGCTGCAACTCTTCTTCTGTCCTTCTCTCTGTTCACCTTTTATCTGCTTTTCAGCCATCCCTGATGTTTTACCGTCTCTCAGAGATCAGTAAAGATCTCCTCCTCCCCTGAGAAAGAGCGATGCCCTGTAGCAGTTTCACTTCTCCCACTGTGAGAGGTCAGAGCAACGCTATCCATCACACACACACACTCTTAGGTAGACATTGTGTGTGTGGTGCAGCAGTGCAGTAAATTAGTCTGCACCTCCACACTGTTTCATAAAGCTGCAGAGAGAAGAGGAAGAGGAGGAGGAAGGCATCACTCACCTCCCACAACAAACGAAAGAAAGAAAGTAATGGGGTGTCTCCAACAAAGCACATTTAGAAAGATAGAAAGATGGAAGGGAGGAAGATAGTGACCTAAAGTTTTATATTTCACTCTATCTCATCTTTAATAGTGACCCAAAGAGAGAAAAAAGGTAGATACAGAATGAAGGAGAACAAACAGAAAGAAAGAAAGAATTAGTAAACAACAGTAAATAAATCTAAAGACATGGAGAAAGATGGACGAAGGGAATGAAAGAAAGAGTGTGTGGAGGTACTTTGAGGTCACACAGATTACAGTTGACGTCCACTAGATGGAGCAGTTCAATCTGCATTCAGCTCAGTGACAGACCTGAACACTGCAGCTGTCAACAGCGTCTGTTTACCTGTTCATCACACCTGACCGTCCCTCTGAAAGCACCGCTGTGAACTGATCAAGAATTACAAATGAATTATCAAAGTCAGTTAACGAGTCACTGAAGGATAAACCCGTCAAACAAGCAAAGCAGGGTGGGAGCTGAAGCATTTGAAGAAGCACTCGACAAAATAAACAAAACACACATGTGAAGGCAGTTTGTACATATTTTAACAGGTTCAGGCGTGTTTGATTTCCCTCCCTGGACACCCTGACTCTTTGCTTCGACTTCCCACAGTCGGATTTCCCCTTAAATGTTTTTTAAGGTGGGACAAAAACAATGTTTTACACGTCCTCCGACAGTACCAACTCCAAACTGCCCCTGAGAGTCTTACGTTGTGCCTCTTCTTCGTAAAGTAAATGTTGCGTTTGGATGGTTATGTGTATTTATAAGAGTTTTATATTTCCACCAAGTTTAACTCAACTTCAAACTAAAATTGAAGTTAAAACAAAAACATGTGTATCATGTTGTTAAAGCTTTATGATGTTTCCACTGAGTGAAATACTCAAACATGTGGCTGCATTATCCCATCAGATGGTATATTCTACGTGTCTGCTGCATCCTTTTCTACACATTCCCCCAAAATTCAGCCTGACATGTTTGGTATCTTTGGAAACTTTGGGATCTCCACTAAAACTTTAAATAAAGTTCTGTGGGTTTGAACAACATAAGGACATAATGACGGACCTGGCAGGGTTGAAGAGGTTCATTTAAACCAAGTGCTCCCTTGTACTTTTCCAGCCGTTCTGACTGTATTTTGGATGCAGTTTTTCAGCCCCAGAGGCGACTTTAAAAACGACGTGCATCGGTGCTGCTGCCGGCATTACGGCAGGTTCATGACTCACATGTTGGGAGTTATTAAAAGAAGCCACCGGTGCAGACAAGTTAATTTCATAATACACACTGCAACGCCTTTATAAGGCAACTCAGTGAGCGGTGAGCTCACGCCGGCATGAGATGGAGGTCTGTAGTTGTAGACAATCAGACGAGTCACACAAGCACACACGCTACTTCCCCTGCAGTGATGATGTCATAACAGCAGAGGGAGAATCCCAGACATTAAAGCATGAAGCTTTGTGAGTGTAACTTAGCCGCTTCCTCTACAGTCAGATCTGACTGGGTTCTCTACGTTAACGGACCACATGTTGCGGGGTTGAACAGCGGTATGAAGTAATGAGAGAGTGTGAGAGAGAGAGAGGGAGGATGGCTTCTTGAAGTACCAACAACTAGTCCAGAATTTAACAACAATGTTAAAGTATCAGATTTTCCTTTGAAAAACGTCCCCTTTGAAACCCACAGAATCCCCTCAAAACATTATAAAACCTTTAGAACCCTCTTAGAACCAAATATATTCTCATGTAGAACCATTTAGGTCCCAATTTAAGAAATAACAGAACCACCCCAAACCATACGGAATCCCTCAGAACGCCCTTAGGCCTGTTCGATCCTCTTAACATCCGATCAGAAATCACTTTTGTTTCCTGATCAAAACATTAGAACCTTCTTAAAACCTGCAACATTCCTTCAACAGCCCCTTTAAAACAACATTAAAAACCCATTAGACTGTCTTGACACCCTATGCAGAACCACTCATGTTCCCATTTAGAAGACCCCTAGACCCCCAAAACATAAAAGACCCCTAGAACCCCTTAAAAGTCTCCTTTGAGCCCTTTTAGATCCTATTAGAACCTTTAGACCATTTGGAATTCCTGAGAAACTTAAACTCATCTTTTCCAGATCCCTTAAATCCCATTTAATCCCTTCATCAGTTCTTGTTCATTTGACCACCTTTAGAACCTCTTTTAAATTCCGTCTGTTCTAAAATTTCCCTTTAGATTTTCAGGACTGCGAGAACCCATCAGAACTCCCTCTTGAACTTGGATTCATTGGAGAATTCATCAGAAGCTCCTCAGGGATCCACATAAAACCCCTTAGAGCCTTGTTGGGAAACAGACCATGTTTGGAATGAGTGGGCTGATGGGAAATTAAGTGGCATGATGAATTATTTCTGAAGAAGCTTGAGGGAGTGGATGAGCAATTTCAGGAGGATAACAGGGCTCTGATGATGACAGAGAAGATCACCTAAACAAAGTTATGCTTCTCAATTGATTCGGGAGGTTCTTGTCCTGGTGTGTCCTGTCAGCACCTGGGACTGCAGGACAGTCAAGACTTCCACCTGCTATTAGAAATCAAAACCGTAAACAACAAATACTTTGTGAGCGCAGACACTCCCAGCTGAATTTCCCAGTGAGACAATGCAACTTGGTTTCGTTCATATTCACAACACTCACCGACGCTTTCTTTTTCAGCTGAAAGCTCTGCTGCTGAAAAACATTTCCACATTCAGCCGTGTCTGTCCTTTTATTGAGTGTTTAGGTCCAGGGCTTGAGGGACATGGTGTTTGTTAAAGGCCGTTAATTTTACAATAATAGTAGATTGTGTGTATGAACCAAGTCAGAACAACATACTGTTTTTTGTAATTATCGTTTGTTACAAAGGTCATCTTACTTCTGGAAGAGAACCTGGACGTTCTGGTTTCATGTGGGTTCTCTATTGAGAGAGAATGAACGCCCAAAGCTCAAAAATGTTTATCACAAAGATAAAGAGCTGAACAAGGTCAGCAAAACAAAGAAAACAAAGACGAAAACAAGAGATAGCTGTTATCTGAATCGGCGACCTGTGCAGGAATCCCCTACTCACAATGCAACATGGCGAGACCGCACAGTCATGAACCATGATGTCATGTTGACAGGAGCTGAACGGCAACCAGACTACACAAATCCAGACTGTCAGACAGACTGACTGACTGATAGGTAGTCAGACAGATGGACAGGAGAGTCACAGGCTAAATCCAAGTCATCCAAGAATTTTCCCTTCAACACGTAACTCATTCACCGCCGAGGGGGAGGGAGGGCTAAAGGAATCCCAGCTTTGCTCCATTAACAGCCAAACAGAGGGAGGGAAGAAATAAATAAAGAAAGAGAAGGAGGCAAAAGTTATGAGTCACAAAGCGAGATGGGAGGAGAGAGAGGGATGAGGGAGGAGGGAGGGAGGTATAATTATGGTAGGAGGCTGCCAGTGCGAGAGAGAGAGAGAGAGAGAGTCCAGCCCACTCCGGTAAAACCATTCAACTGGTGAGCGAGGGAAGGCATTCAACACAGAGAGAGAGAGAGAGAGGAAAAGAGGTAAAAAAAAGAGAGAGGGAGGAACTCCTTCGTCTGGGATAACTTAGTCAAACTGCCTCTTTAACACACACACACACTCTGAACACACACTCTGCAGCGGCTTCACCCCGGGAACAAGGATCCTCCTGCACGCCAGAGTTTTCCTTCTCCGCTTTTCCATCATCCATTCATCACATCCGAGAGTTTTTTCTTCTTCTTCTTGTTTTGTTTTCTTCTTTCTTTCTTTCTTGTGACGCCTCCACATTTTCCAGCCATCTGTCCCTGACAAAAAAGATAAGGATTACTCATTTTCTCTCTCGGCGTTGTGTTTTTTCTTTTTCTCTCTTTTTTTGTCCTCGTCTCCCTCTCGTTTCTTTACAGCTTTTTTTTTCCCCTCCGTTTTTTCGCAGGTGGACTGTGAGCTGAGCTGAACTTTGCAGCTTCCAAACTTCTGAGGAGAGAACGAGACACACAGAGAGAGAGAGAGAGAGAGAGGAGAAAGACAAAGACAATAAGAAAGAGAGAAGGCAGAGGAAGGTGAATTTCAAACAGAAGAAACACTTTTCTTTCTTCAACCAGGACTGAATTTTTGTTCAAACACAAACCAAAAGTTGACTTTTCTTCATCTTTACTGTCTCCGTCTTTGATTCTGCATCCGGCAGCATCACTAAATCTGACCCAGCAGCCAATCAGGCAACTCCTGCCACCATGTCTGTCTTACCTCTGCTGAGCTGGACCGTCCTGCTCCTGGTCCAGAGCTGCGGCTCCTCCTCAGACCCGGCGTCCAGACCTCTGTCACTGACCGTCCACCCTCACCACCAGCCGCTGCCGGACGTCGCCTCCAGCTCCCACTGCCCCTCCTGCGCCCTGGCCAGGATGAGGAGAAACGAAGGGGACGCGGACGACGTGGCGGGACACGACCGGGAGGAGGAGGCTCAGCAGGACGTGGTGGAGGCGGTGAAGAGGCACATCCTCAACATGCTGCACCTCCAGGCCCGGCCCAACATCACCCGGCCCGTGCCACGCGCCGCGCTCCTCAACGCCCTGCGCAAGCTCCACGTGGGGCGAGTGGCAGAGGACGGCAGCGTGCAGATCGAGGGGGAGGAGGAGACGCGAGGGCGGGGAGGCCGGGGAGAAGGAGGGGGAGGAGCAGTGGCGGCTCGTGTGGCAGACAGCGGCGACGCGCAGGAGACGACGGAGATCATCACCTTCGCCGAGGCTGGTGAGTGCGCACAGCTTAGTGTGTGTGTTTGTGTGTGAGAGCATCGTTTTGTCCTTCTGCAGCAGCAGCGTGTGGAGAGAAAACCTTTATGTGTGTGTGTCCACCTGCTTAATTCCACCTGCGTACTCACTCAGCCGAACCCGTCAGATATCCACACACACCAGCCTCTGTAATCGCCTCCTGCTGTTTTCAAATAATAGCCCATTATCTACTTAAAGTCAGAGGGGACTCGTGCGTTTGTGTGTGTGTGTTTTGTGTGTGTTTAAAAGCAGTTCAGAGTGCTGGAACACTTTTCTGACAGACGGTAGCGACAAAGAGCGAGTCCGAGAGAGAGGGAGGAAGGGAGGGGGAAATGAAGAAGTACTTCTGTGAGAAAACCCGTCTCACACAGTCAGACCTGTTGGACTCTGGGAAGCCGTCCGGTCCGTCCTGGACCTGGACTCGACCTGCGCAGGCTGACGTCAGGTGGTCTTTCTCTGTCTGCTCACCTTTGACCCCCTGCAGACCTCCAGCTGGACTGGCTCTGTGTTTTAAACACCTTTTAAATCCAGGTCACTGACGGGTCACGCCACTCTCGCACTTGTGAGGTTTCCTGTGTTCCGACGCGGCTGTAAAATCATGCAGTTGTCATGTGAAAACCTTGTATCTCCAGTTCTTGGTATTTCTTGCCTGCTGTGTTTTATTCATCAACTCCAGTTTGGCTGGAATCTCCGTTCCTGCTGATCAGTTTTTAGACTTTCAAGTCTCTTCTATGATAAGCAGCTCGCAGAGGGTCGAGACGTGCTGCAGAGACATAATCCATCACAGTCAGTCAACTTTATTTTTTTTAATCAACCTTACGCATGTTATGATATTTGAGATCTTAGAGTCGTCAGCTGAGTAGAAAAACTTCAAATACAAGAAATTCACACTTTTTTCTGTGTTTGATTTGCAGAAAAACTAATTCCTTGTATTAATATGGTGTGCTTTGGAATCTAGCAGTAATCTAAAGGGTATATTACGTCTGCATGAGTTAGTCCAGTGGAAAAGGTGAAGATTTTTAAATGACAGCATTTTAGTTAAACTCTTGTGACCTTCTGTCAATTAGAGGCATGAATCATTTCAAAATGCTGCCTCTGCGGAGCGCTAATGGATCTGAAATGAATTGATTGCTCTATGTGAGAGCTCACCTGTCCGTCAGACAGTGTGGGCGGGACTGTGACGTCCTCTCCTTCCTCCTCTGGATTTTCTGTTGGTGCAGTTTGAGTTTCTGTAGGCGAGAGTCTGGAGCAGCAGATGGAAAAGATTTTTATGAACTGGATCTTTACAGAGCGGCCGAGAGGAGCAGCTTTCTCTAAATGTAATGTCGTTTAAAGAGTTCCTCCAGGTGGATATAATCTGCTGCCAGCCAATTAGAGTTCCCGAAGTCTCGAATTATGTAAAATCTGGGCTCAGAAACATTCCTGTTCTTTTTGCCTTCGTCACCACGCTTAAAATAAATGTGGAGCACAACAGTGGGCGTGTCTCAGGCTGCACACATGCTTGTTGGAGGCTGTATGCAGCCTGCAAACGCTGCTCGAGGCTCTTTCAGATTAACTCTGAGACCAGTTTCAGTGCCAGGAAGCGTTGGCTTAGTGGGCATAAAACATTGTAGTATAAATTGCATTTGAAGTTTATCCACATCGGTGATCTAGAGTGATCTAACAGATCATGAAACCAGCCAGGTGACCAGACAAGACAAATCACTAGTGCGCATGTGCCAACGCGCATGCAGCCTGTTGCAGTTGCTTTTTAACTTTCTTTTTTATATCTCACGTCTGTGATTTTTGGTCGATACGTAATTTAAACTTTTTTTTTTACAGAAGGATCCATAAAGTATTTCTGAAGTTCTGTTGCATCGTCTGACCCGACACCTCTAGGCTGGAGGTTTAAGCACTGAAACCACTTGGTTAGGGTTAGAGAAGGGTTTAAATAACTACTTGGGTTAAAATAAATCAGCAGTGACTGATGGAAATGACCCATCCCTGACCCGTGATCTTTGAGGCGCCCTATTAACGTCACCTGACTTCCTCCTTTGCTCCCTACAGCCGCTAGAGGGCGTTTTGACTTGAACAAATGTTTTGCTGAGTACTTGCTGTTCTAAAACTTTTGCTTTGTAGTCTCGGCGTGTCATACAAACAAGTTCATCTTAAGCTCACTGAACCCTTTAATGTCCTGTAAAACCCAAACTGCTCGGCTGCCGAGGTGTCGCTGCCACTTTAAAGTAAAAGAGGCCCTGCCACTTTCATAGGAACTGATGAAACCGTGTTGTTCTTCTAAGATACAAAACAGCCCGCCGTGAGAATACTTTGCACCCCGCCGGCCCTGTGCTTTGTTAGGAATAACTGATGCGTTCAGGGACCTCTGTAATTATTTTGGGCGGCGGAGATGGCAAGTAGGGGAACAGAGGGATGACTGGATTCTTGGCGGAGACGAAGTGTCAACCTCCGTTTAGCAGCTCTGACACAATATCATTCTATCATCAGCCTGTTTAAATTCCTCTCCTCCGTCCCTGTTTATCTTCCCCTCTTCTCTCCGTCTCTCCCTGCACACAGAGGACAATTAGGCTAATTGAACTTAATTGAACACATCATTAGCGACATTCCACACTGCATTTTCATTCCCCTCCTCCGATCTGCCGCTCTCTAACCCGCCGGGCTACCCTTGCCTCCTCTGGCAGCCAGAATAAACCGCTCATTGTTGGATCTATTCTGGTGGCCGGGCCCGTCTGGGGATTCAAACCAGCAACCTGCGACGAGCTCGGCCCGCTTCACTGAGCTCCGACAAATGAGAGGAAACGGTGAAGCTCACAGGAAGACAAAGACAGACAGAACCGTCTGTCTGTCATGGAAATAAACTGTAATTAGCATGTTTCCACTGCCCGTTTGCTTTCTCTTCCTCACACTCTTCTCTTCTTCTCTCATCTTTCTTTTGGCATTAACTCACATTTTCTTCTTGTCTGTTCGTTTTCTCTCCATCTTTTTCCAAGTTTAACTTTCTCCCTCCTCTTCACTCGCTCGTCTGCTCTGACTTTCCCTCCCTTTCCATCACTTCCTCGGGACGTGGCTTTAGCGTGTTTATAGCGTGCTAACGTCCGTGTCCGTGTAGTGGGAACGCTGCTGGTTTGAATCCCGGCTGGTTTTAGTCCTCGTCCCACCACATCGTTTGGCTCTGCTTTGATGTGTGACCGGCCGCCAAAGATGCTCTATGTCTGGGGAGATGAATCACTCGATAGTAAACAGCTACAGATTGTGTGCAGACCAAACACACAAACCGACTGAGAAAAAATCTGATCTCACAATTAAGGATAAGGTGCTCTTCTATGTTTCTCTTCATGTTCAGACTCAAACCTGCAGCGACTGTTTCTCCTAACAGGTCTTGTGTGTGACGTCTCCTCTTCCTCTGAGCATAGAGCTCCTCTGTTGTCCAGGAACCGTTCAAACCCGTCGGAGAGCCTCACAGGCTGACATGTTCCTTCACCACCATGAACACACCCGCTGGAGTTTATTTTGACTCTGAGCCTGTCTAAACACGAAACTATATATTTGTGAGTTTGTTTTTTAAAGATTTACATCTTCAGGAGGAACCAATGGGCTGAGAGCTGAGAACCTCAGACAGGAAGTCAGACGGTGCTGACAGACGGTGCTGACATGTTTGGGTCTGCACGTGAAATTTGTTGACAGTAAGAAAAATAGAGCGTTGGATGCTAAAATGAAACTCAGACTCCGTTTGTTACCTAAAACTAAAAACTGTTATTTCTCATGAAGTCACAGGACTTTGCTTTTACACTACATCCTATTAACCAATCACACAATTTCACACACTGGTGGAACAGCCACCAGGGGGAATTCAGGGTCCAGTATCTTGCCTAGGGATTGAACCGCCGGCCTTCCGATTAACAGGCAACCCGCTCTTCCTCCTGAGCCACAGCCGCCCCAGTGGTGTCGTTTGAGAAATAAATGCACGATTAGCAGCGGCTATCTTTTTATGAGCTAACGAGCCCGTGTTTCCTGGTGTTTATGCTTGTAAGCCTCATTAAAACTCAGAGCTGTTTTGGTGGATTGAGCCGTTCAGATCAACAAACAGAGATCTACCTCACTGATTTGGAAAAAGTAGCATCGATTCATTAAAATATTTGCTCTAACGAGGCGCCCTTGATCGTTTAATAAGTTGTAAGTAGTTGTTTTGTGTATCGTCTGTAATTTCATTTGGATCAGTTAGAAGCCAATCATAAGTTTTGGGTTGCCAGGTTGTGAAAAACCTTCTGTGTTTATCTTTTCTGTTTGTTTCTGTTCATTAAGAAAACGTTCGTTCTCACTTTCTTGGGAATTGGTCAAATAATTCAATGTTTCACAACCTGGCAACCCAAAAGTTGTTCCAATTAGTTTCCCTATAACTGATCTATAACAAATTAGTGAATGATTTATAAACTGTTAGTTAAGCAACCTTTGTCAAGGGTGCCTCATTAGAAAGTGGTTCCCAAATATTCAGTTGATGTAATGAGTGAGTGTAAATATAGCTACACTAAAAGCGATCTTACATTATTAGTTTTAAACCTGACATAAATCAGCCATCATTCAGATAAAGCGAGAGACGTTTGTGGTGCACAGAGAAAACGGTCAGAGTGAGACATCACTGTGTCGCCCGCCTCTCTGCCAGCCTCCCGCTGTGTCGTCCCTCTGGGAGGAATCAGGAAGGCAGCGAGCGGTGGCCTCGCTAAATACAGGCGAGTTCAAACAGAGGGGGAGGACGGAGAATTAGAGAGAGCAGAAACCATCCCAACCTTGGTGACCGTCCCTGAACGACTCCTCAGACTCTCCGAACACTCCCTGTTCGTCTCTTTTTGAACCGCACACGCAAAAGACTTTTCCTGCAGAGAGCTGTGGCACCGTACCGATTGAAGTTATTATTAAACAGGTCCTTCAGCAGCAGCAGGGTGTGGTCAGGTCACTGTGACATCACGGGTGGGTGTGGTCACAGGT